CTGTAAGCTTGTACTATATGCGAAGTCTCTTTTGGTAGGAATGCAGTTGCTACCTTAAGCTAAATGGGTTTTATTAATATAATGGAGAGCTTTAAGAGGGGGAAAAATGGTTAAAAGTTCCCTCAGAAATTTGCAGGCTTTTTATTCTTTCTGTCAATATGTTAAGTTATAAGACGCTCCAGGATAAAGCAAGAAAATTTCTTTGACCAGTTCAGAGTTCTACATTATCTCTGCCACAAGATGATCAGTTGAAGTTTGCTAAATACAGAGAGTATAGGATCAATGCTTTGTTGCTCTATGACTATTAAGGCACTAAAACTTACATGTATTTTGGTTTATTCCAGGAAACGAGGACGGCATTGAACACGTATTGATCTTAAGGTCTATACCTTTGATGATCTTCTCTTTTCTAGTATACCTAATCTTGATTGATTACATACTATTTGGAGAAAAATTTACCATCCTGAGTTTAAAACCGAGACGTTTCCGCTTATGGCTTCAGGGATACATACTTGGAAATCCACAGATCAAGGTTTCAGGACTTCTGAACTATAGGGTTCCGTTTGCTTATAGGATGGGGCTGATTTCTGATGAACTCTATGAGGTAACCTATTTCTTTTGTTTGTTACCTATTGATATCTTAGACACTGTCATTTGTCACATGCATTCTTACAATGTAAAATTACCTGTGATTTTCTAATTGACCTGTATATTTACAATGCAGTCCTTGAAGGTTAGCTGTAAAGGGGAATATGAAATCATAGATCCCAGTAATGCAATGTGTTTGAAAAATATGCAGGCATACAATGAGGCAAGCAATCATATCTATGCAATTTTTATGTGACTCTATTTTAAAAAATTAGGCAGGGCCTAATGGATTTACTTAAAGTGCCCCCTAAACTCAAGAAAGAGAGACAGAGTTAAGGATCGTCAATATAACGTTCCTGAATAGTGTAATATCATTTGAACAAGAAGTAATTTATTGTAACTTATACAATTTCGTAACAGAGTTGCAGTTAATGTTAGGGGCTTACACAAGCAGTAATCGAACATCATACTTCTGTTACGAAATTGTAGAAGTTAACAATGAATTATGGTTTATTCAAACAATAATACACTTTCCAGAAACGGTTGTACTAACAATTGGTTCCTACCCCTTCCCGTTAATTTGTGGGCCACAAAGGTGAAAAGGTGGGAAGAATCAGAATAAAGGAACGGGCAACCAGAATGATGGTTAATAATTTGCTTCTGCAGTTGGTGGTTCGTAATATTGACAATCAAAATATCTTGATTCCCGTATGTCATCCCCTTTCACGAGAGCCAAATAAAATATTTACCGGTGGGAGATCCATTATGCAAATGTTGTATGAGAAGTTTGAAGAGCTAGACGTTCGGGAATCTACTCCAGTCAAATGTCGAGTAAGATACTACTAGTATTGTTCTATGTAAACTAGTGGATAAGAGCATCAGTTCTTGTAGCACAACTGATCGCGTTTCTTCTGTTCGCTGGCAATCGCAGACGGAATGGACTATGCTCCTTCAGCACTGGGCTAACAACAAGAGCGTCCAAGAGGCCCTCCATGTGCGAAGGGTATGTCTAAATCAAGCACTATGGTATGTAGCATTTGAATGCCGAAGCAAGCCTGAACTGATTTCTGTAATCACATTGCAGGAAACTATCGGACAGTGGTTAAGCTGCAACGGTACCTTGCCATACACAAAAAATGCAGTGAGTGTTGTACCATATCTTGCAAACCTTAGCACTAAAGGTTATAGATCCCTTATATACAGGTTTGGTACCTAGCTCTGAATCTTGATGCATGTAAGTTAACAGCAGTGATTTTAAGTACTGAAAGTGGAGTACTTTGTGATTCAGTGGTGACCATGATCTGTTGGCCCGCACATTGAAACTCAAGCGTGGATAAGATCTCTAGATTACCCAATTATTGACGATTGGAGACAGTGGATTTCATGAAGGCCAAGTTGCCGGGTTTGGTTCAAAATTGAACAATGTTTCTTTTCTTGATTACACCACCATTAGCACGAGATAAAAAGATAACTTTACCGAACTCATCTAAATTTGTTCTGTTTTCCTGCTTCCAGTTACACAAGGACCTACGCAAATAAGATGACATTTGCAACAGTGAAGGCAAGAAATTCCTGTTTCTATTGCTTCAGTGCAAGATTTGTTCACATGCTAACAACTAACAAGAAGGTCAGAACATTCTTGGGACTAACTAGCACCCCTTTTTTCTTTTTTTCTTTTTTTGGGTGAAGGGAGGAAGCCATGTTGCTTATATGTTCAAGCCTGCCGAATGCAGAACTATGCTTGAGAGATGGATATCGCATCAGCCTCTCTAATCAGTTGGCATATGGATATGAACATTTCTTATGACTTCTGAGCATCAAAATGTTCCACTCTTAAATATAAATTAAGGGGTGGGGTTTATTTAATACATAATTAGAGTTGGAGACGCTTCTACTCCAACTCTCCAATGGATTTTCTTCTTATCGAAACGTGAATAAAATGTAATAGTTACGCCTCCAAATGTTTCTATATGACTGTTGAAGCTTTTACTTTGAAGATATGTCATTGAAAAAATTTCCTCTATTTTGCAATAAATAATATTTTGAATTCACAGGAAAGTACAGGTTTGGCAAGGAATTCAAATATTAAACATGAATGGTGGGAATCTACCAAAGCTTTTAAAAGATGAAGAGGAGTAGGAAAAGGAATTTCTTATTCATAATTGAAAAGCAATTTTCTTGAGTACACTTTTAAAACCTAAAAAAGATCAAAAGAATAAATCTCTCCTGTTTAGGATTGATCTAATTACTTTTTAAGCAAAATTGTGACTCAAAAGCACCTTAAAAGCCTTTTTTTTTTAAGACAGCCCTAAATTATGTGTTTGTGATCATGAATGATCTGATCATCGAAGGTTTACACTTGATTCACACTTGAGTAGATTTGATCTTTAGAAATTCAATAGGTCAAATTGTGCTATCCATCTCAAAAAGTAGTGTGTGACTTAATCTGGACTACTGAATTTTTAAAAATCGGATCTTCCAAGTTTTGGTTGAACGTGTTAAGGGTATCAAGATCTCTCTATTTATGATGAGCCCGCCAACATCGTTGAAATCCTGCTGGTGCTAACTGGGAATGGAGCACCTATGGGTGCATGGGCTCAAGTTTTTGCCTACTCATATGGGAAGGAGGAATGCAAGGCTCAATCAATATGGGAAGATGAGACGTGCCCAATCAACAAAACCTCGAGGACAGATAGAAGGTGCAGCGTGACGGAGAAAAACAGAGAATAGAGTTTGACCATTGTCATCAAGTATTGGGTGCACTCTTTCAGCGTATGAAAGAAAGAAGGCAAGGTATGATGCAGGAAAACACAGAACGGATGGCAACCGTAACATGGTTAGACCTCAAGGTCCTCAACTATTGATTTGTACTTTGATCAAACTTCAAAGGAGGTAGTGCAAATAACCCTTTAATGTTTTAAACAAGTCATTTTCTTTTCTTTTCTTTTTTCGTTATTTGAAGGAAAAACATTTACAACAAAAAGGAAAAAAAAAGAAAAACAAAAAACAGTTATGTAAGTGAACTTTACATGCATTACAGTTTGTGAAATTCGTCAATTCTCTGTAGAATTCTGCTCAGTGGACTGAACATAAGCGCAATATTCCACAACATCATCTTTGTAAGAACCATATTAGTTTTACCATTGACTTAGCCTCCAAAGAGTAGCTTCAGTAACACCTAATCAAATAAACTTCTACTTCTCGTGAAAATCAATGTTCAAAAGCATCCATCGGGTTATCAGATGAACTTCCACACAAGGGAAAAATATATCTTGACAGACAAAAGGTATTCTAACAGTTCAAAGAAACCTCAAGTCTCCAATCTGCATAGTCCGATTAACGAACTAATTATTAATGGATCATTGCAAGAAGTCTGATATTGACCTGAAATGATGATGGACGACCAAAACTATCAAGTACAGAAGCTGATTCATTCACTCTGCCTCTGACGCAAAACTGGAATATCTTCGTAACGCTTCTGTAATGCAATATTTATGAATTTCGGTTAGACATCCATGAAGACCACGACGAAGGTAAAGCAGACATATCTATCATTACATAAAGCAGGAAAAAAGACTAGAAGCATCCATTTCTAGAAGCAGAGAAGAATATCTATCTAACTATATCTATATCTTATCAACCTAAGGTAGACTAAGTGCTTAGGAAAGTCTCCAAGGGTGCGTGGTTTTGATGACGTGTCAGTTCATGATTTGCTGAAATGTTGTCGTCCTCCAGCTGCTCACGTGACTTGATGGTTGGAAATTGGGATGTGAATTCCGTTTGTGAGCCACCGAGTCTTTTTTTGCATCCAACCCACTAAAGAGAGTGATAATAGTAGTCATAGTCCTTTTTCTTTTTCAAACGCAGTGGTTGGGCCTATTTCTCTTTCCCACCTTACCTACTGTCAGCCTTTTTGGTCACACCTACTGGATCAGAACCATCTTTTATCTCTCCCTCTTTGTTCATCGTCTCTCTCTCTCTCTCTCTGTTTCTTTTCGTTTCTTCATCTCCGACGAGAAAGCCCCCTTCTTCTCTTTCTCTTTTCTTTGTCTTCGTCTTCTGATGGAGAATAATGATAAGCCAAAAAGATGGTTTATATATATATTTTTAAAGGTTCTTGTTTCTTCCTTTGCAGAACTTCTCTAGCCCTCATTTTTTTCTTTTTTTTTAAAATGGGTTGTAGTTGTCTAATTTACATATTTCTGATGTTGCAGGTGACAAATTGGAAATTACTTCCGGCAACCTGATGACATCTTGCAAGTCTTTTGTTTCCTTTTCTAAAGTGCATTCTGTATGCTTAAAAGTTTTGATTCTTCTAATTCCTGCACTTTCTTATGCCCGAGTTCTTTTGTACTTTTTTTTTTTGTTTTCTGAAGAAACCGTGTTGTGGTTTTTCTGTTTTTTCCCAATAGAGCAAGGGATCAATGATAAAGGAGGCATCTTTTTCAGGTTTGAGATTATGTTTAATAGTTTTTATCAATGATTTTTTAAATCAATAGCCTATTGTTGTTTTTTGCTTGAACTATTTTTATTTATCGGTAGCCTTCTTGATTTTCAAGTTTAGAAGAGATTTTAGCAGTTTTTTTGGATAAAAACAGCTTGGATGAGTTTTTAGGAAAATTGCCTTGGTGAATTTCTTGCTACGGATTTATGTGTTTTGGACTATTGTTATCTAAGCGCTTTTGTAACGTTGTCTTTTTTATGAACTGACTTCAAGTTTTTTCCTCCTTTTTTTATAACTGCTGTTGGTATATGCTTTTGCCGTTGTGGCGAGTTCATTTTAAACTTCCTGCCTTTTTCTTTCTGTTTTCAGTTTTTCTTTCTATTCTTGTGATTGCCTGTTTTACATCCGTATGGTATGCCTTTCTTTGTAGAATTCGCTGGCCTTTTGATTCTTGCAAGGGGCCTTCTTTGAAGCTAATCCTTTGTCATTTGTTGGGACAGGAATTCTGTTGCAGGTCAGATGCTTTTTATTTGTCTTGTTTGCTTTTTCCTTTTGTCGTACATTCTTTATTTAGTTGCCACTTTTGCTTTTACGTTTTTAGTTCATGCATGAGTATCACCTCTGCGTAATAGTTGTTAACTCGCATGTAAGAGTATGCATGCATGTTTTTTATTTCATTGTATCATATATCTTATGTTCTTTACAGCAGTTCGTAAATGTTGTTTTTGTTCTTCTTTACAATCATTCGACTATAGTTTTTGGTGGCTATTGTAAATTGCCATTGGCTGATTTTTTTTTTTTTTGGACTGATGGTTCTTGGTCATTTAAGTCAGGTGGATAGAAATACTATTCGTCAAAAATGGTATGTTGAAATGTCACAGAGTGAGAAGGCTGCACTTTCATGTCGGAGGCATGAAGCCAGGCTTTTGGAAAAAAAGGGAGAAATCCTCACGCTCTTATGTTCATAGGTACCGTTTGGTTGCATAGAAGCCGGTGTTTGTTTTCCTGGTTCTACTCTTGAGGGCGATAGCAAGCTACTCTTGAAGGCTGTGGTTTTACTCGTCGAGGTATATGTGCCGTTGTAGTATTTTACTCGTCTATTCTGTATCTGTTAGTTTATTTAGCCTTGTGTCAGATCATTATCTTTGAATGGCTTCACGTTTCTGTGCCATTTACGATTGAAGCCATCTATTTTTGCACATTACAGCAGCTCCATTGAATGACATAGTTCAGGTTACAAAAGGTCAACCAGAATCTAGTGCTGGAAAAAAAACTGTGTCTTCTCATCTTTGGCCGAACGTTTGGCCTTCTATTAAAGATCAGCCTTCTTAGCACAGTCATAAAGAAGTCTTACCTAAAGGATTGCCTGACCTCTTAGATAACATTACAGTCTTCAATGAGAACGAACAAACTTGTGATTCTCAAAATGTCAACCAAATAACATACTTCAATCTTTAAAGGACTCAAACTCTGGAATCCTTAACTCTTTGAACACTCTGTCTTTAAATCGTTTGTCCAGAGACTGTGATTCCTCTTCTATTGCATTGAATCCCTGATCTTTCAGCATTCCGCGAGGTAGAGATATTACTGCATCCAACAAATCATTCTTCTTGCTTTTCTTATTCAGCCTTTAGTATCGTTGTCTTTCATAAACTTCTTAATAAAATAAGGCCGTCTATTTATGCACGTTGCAGCAACTCCATTCAATGACAGAGCTCAGCGTTAGAAATGTCAGATAGAAACTAATGCTGGAAAAGGAAGAAAAAGGAAAAAAAAAAAGGACATCTATCTTTTGATTCCTTACCTAATGACCAGCCTTGTAAGCGGAGGCATGGAAATGCATTGTCTAAGGCATGGTCTCCTGTTTCAGAAGTTAACATTGCGATCTCTTAAGACAATGAACAAACCTGTGGTGCTTGATGTTAAAATACAGCTAACATCTTTGAACCTACGCGGAACTTGAATTCTAAAATTCTTGGTTCTTTGCAGAGTCCATTTTTGAATTGCTCGTTAAATGACTGTATTTATTCTTCTACTACATTGAATCTCCAGTCTTCTAGTACTTCTCAAGATACAAATATTATTATATGTACCAATTATTTTGCTTGCTTTTCTTGTTCAATCTCCGGTACTTAAAAAAATTCTTCTCCACTTCTAAGATAATGTTGTGTCTTTTGGGCACCTTATTAGGATTTGCCATTGCAGATATCCCATCGATTCAGAAAAATATGGTGGTTCATTCTCAAATAATAAATGATGTGTCGACTAACAAAGATGGGACCAGCAAATCATCTGATATTCCTGTTGGTTTTGCAACTCGAACGAAGGATCATACAAATGTTATGCCGACAAGAACGACGCAGTCAGGTTAGTTGATATGTAGGTTATGCTGAAAGGGGGCAAAAACGTTTCATCCTTGTTGGAGTATCGTATATGTGATGAATATGTATTTCTGCCCTTGAAATATTAAAAAAAAAGAGCAGCTGCTTATAAAATCCTTGAGCATTAACTGCCTTAAGCTTGATTATGCTACTATTTGATCATTTGTTTCAGGAGGGCTCCCACAATATATGTTAACATTTTCTCTTGGGAAGCTGCAACACAATTTCCAATAGCAACACAGACAGCAAGAGGAGGGGCAAGTTTCTCTTGCTACTGTTACTGACTGTCCATTTGAGTATCAATGTTAATTATTATATATTCTAAGCTGAATATTCTGCGGATCTTGGCAGATGCAATGGGGCTTGGGAAAACTGTGATGACTATTGCTCTGATTCTTGCAAGGCAAGGCAGAGGTACCCTGAGGATTAAGAATCGATTGCCAAAAGTGAGGGTGATACAGAGTACATCAAGAAAAAGAAAGAGGAATCTGATCTCAAACCTTTTAGAAAAGTGAAAGGCAGCACCCTCATTATTTGTCCTATGGCGTTGCTTGGCCAGCGGAAGGTGAGTCCCTATAATATATTTGATTCAGCCAGAATAACAAAGTTTTCTGAGTTTGTATGCATTCTGAATAGGTTTAGCTACATTGTTCTGAAACTGCATTACTGATTTTCTGATCGTATGTTAGTTAATGGATAGGCACAAGGATATACTGTCGTCTTCTCTGAATAAGAATTTACTGAATGAACAGGATGAACTTGAAACACACTCAAAGCCAGATAGCATCTCCGTTTCTGTCTTTTTTGGTGGGGATCGGAGCAGTGACCCTAGAGTGATTGCTGAACCTAATGTGATCTTGACCACATACAGTGTCTTAACGGCTGCTTGTAAGAATATAAGCTAGCATTTCCATTTTTTGTTACTTTCCACCACCGAAATCCATTTACTTGCAGCTTATAAGAATGAAAAGCTGGCCATTTCCATTTTTTTAGTTTCCACCACTTAAATCCAATTGCTAATGCTGCTTGTTCTTTTCCCCTGTTGAAACATTTTTAATGATTACTATTTTATATGTTCAACACAGGATGGGGAGAATAGCATTTTCCACAGAGTTGACTGGTACAGAGTGGTTTTGGATGAAGCTCATACCATCAAGTCCTCTAAAACTCTAGGTGCCCAGGCTGCCTTCAAATTGTCATCCTATTGCATGTGGTGTCTTACTGGTACCCCTCTTCAGGTATGGCAGCAGCAAAGAATTCTGGCATTAGTTGAACAAGTGCCGAGTAATGTTTTTCCTGATTGTTATTAAACCACTGGCTATTGTCTAGCATGTATCAATTAAGGTCATTATCAATTGCTGCAGAACAAGTTGGAAGACCTTTATAACCTACTTTGCTTCTTGCATGTTGAACCATGGTGTAACTAGGCTTGGTGAGCTTATTATTATTTTTTTTGACAATTTTATGGCTGATGCTCGAGATCATTTAAAAACAAGCAGTTACTATTCAGTTTTTGCGTCACATTTCCTAGAAAAATTGTTCAAAGAGTTAAAGATGGCCAAATCTTTTTTTTTTGTTTATTGTTATTTTTTTAATCAACATTATAATGCAAATGAGCTTGTTCCCTCGCTCTTCCCATTTGCTGAAATTTGTTTACTGCTTGTTGTAGGTGGCAAAAACTGATTCAGAAGCCATATGAGAGTGGTGATTATAGAGGGATAAAGCTGATCAAGGCTTTGGAGGCCACTAAAGCTCTACTATTTACAGACAGAAGTGATTATCATTTCTTTTAATGTAATAACTGTTTCCTTCTATTTCTTCAACAGCTTATAGTACTTTCTTTTTTTATCTCCACCAAAATGTAGATTTAACTCAACATCTCCTGACTACTCTACAGGGAAATATAGTTATATGTTACATCAAGCCTTCTCTTAGCCTTCTCCTTCTAGATTTAGACTGACCAGATATGTAGCTCATGAAATAATCACTGCCTATGGATGAAGCTCTCAATATTGACAACCTCAACATCAACAATCTCAAGATTAAATGACTGACAATCTACTTCTTGTGTTATTTTTAATTGTACCTTTGCTACACCGACGATTTACAATCTACTTATTATCTGTTTTTAGTCATAACTTTACTACATCTATAGTCTATTATGTCCTTTATTATACTTTTCGATTTCGTTTTTTTCTATTTTCTAAATTCTTATTAGCTTATTGAGCAAAACTAGGCATGCCAGTCTTTGAATTCTACACCGCGCGATAAAAGCGGGAGTTGGAGAATGAATAGTGAATTTTGGTCGAGCGGTTATGCTGCTATTTTTGTGACTTTGAGGGGCGTTTTGGTCTTTTGGAATTGGAGGGCAATGGCTCTGCTGGAAATTCGCGCTGGTGAGTGGACTGGTTATCCAGTAATTTTCACCAACTTTGAGGGCATTTGGTATTGTTGGTGGGGCAAGAAACTTTTTCCATCAGCTGTGTGTGTTTTTGTTCTTGACACGTACAATTGAAGTAGGATTCTTGAATCTCAGGGCAAATTAACCGAGTAAAGCAGCCAAAAGTTGGGAAAATATATAATGGAAAGCAACTGATGGTGGGTGCGAGCCACTATTTTCTTCCCTTAATATATGCATGTTGTCCTTCTACCAACGTCCTTAATCTAAAGGGAAAAAAATGGAGAAAACTTGTTTCACGTGTAATAATACATGTCTTTTACTGTAGATTAATGATACTAATATTAATGAAAAAAGAAGTAGGCCTATATTTATTGAACTTAGTGAGTAATAGAGATATACATATCTAACAATATAAAAGGAAAAGTTGCCCTATGCACAGTATTGTTAGATAAATATAAAAAACAATATTGTTAGATAAATATCCATATTTAATATATATATATATAATTATTATAAAATGTTTCCTAATGGCTCTAAATTTAATGTGTATATATTCATTTTTTCTAATGGCTCTAAATTACTCTAAATTGAAAAGCAATGTTGTATGCTATTTTTTTATTATACTTTTAGTCAAACATGCAACATTAATTACATTGTTTTCTTACATTAAAAAAATTAAAGTACTGTAAATTTCAAAAATAATGTAATAATACATGGCTCTTAATGTAGATTAATGATCTAATATTAGTGAGCGACATTATACACAAATATGAAAGAAAAATAATTTTTGTGATTATATTGATTAAATGTTTTAATTTGTGCAAAAAAAAAAAGGAAATAGGCCCATCTTTATGGAACTTAGTGAGTAATAGAGATATACATAAATATAGATGGGTATCTTTATAATTACCTCACCCAAACCACATAATTTATACAAATCATACCACACAAAATGTCGACACTACATTGTCTCAATTATTGTACTTTATTAACCATTATATTACAAAATATCCTCCATACTTCACAAACTATTAATACTATATTCATCCAATCAATTTACCGTACTATTATTTTATAATTCAAATCAGACTTATAATAATTATATAACTCTCTATATTATAAAAAATATATAAAGGCTAAAAATTAAGGAACTTAACACGGGAAATATTAGTGCTCTTGCGCAACGCGCAGACCGTCTCACTAGTAAAACTATAAAAGTGGGAGTTGGGTTTTGAAGAGTTCATTTTAGTCGAGCGGTTATGCCGCAATTGTTGCTGGATATGAGGCTATTTTCGTAACTCCGTTCCTCCTTTGTATTGCTGCTGCCCAACCAACGAAAAACACGTCCTCCCAATCGAAACTTTGTCGCCTGAGTCAAGTGGCCGGGGTATGGGTCTCTCTCTCGGCCCCAAAAGAGGAAAAATAAAATAAAGGGCCAAATAATAAATTAATAAATTAACACAAAGCAGGAAGCAGGTCAGGAGGAGGAATCACTCAGTCTTTGGCAGTTCCTCGTGTCATGTGTCATTAGGATTAGCCTTAGTAGTCCTTCATATTTCGCTAATGCCATTTCCTGTTTCTGCCTTACTCAGGAAATCGGAAGATGCTACGTTATAGTTGTGCGGTTTCTTTCTAATTTATTTGTTCTTTGTTCCTCTTTGTTTGCATCATTTTTGCCTACTGTCATCCGCAAAGATAGGCCATCTTAGCTATTCTTGAGTATTAGTTTAGCCTTAGGTTTGTCTTATTTTTTCAGTTATGCCATTCCTTTTTCCCTTCGTTCAAGCTGCATAATAGTTGCTTGGTTGTTTGGTAATTTTGTTGTCTTCTGACCCTATTTTTTGTTGACTCATTGTGGATGCCTCACTTTTTGTTTCTACATGTTTCTTTGAAAATTGAAACCCGCCTCTTCTTCGTTGCAAAATTGCCATTTTGACTGTGTTCTCCTTTAACCACTCCATTGGGCTAATGGTTCAGTGACATCGGGAAGGGGTTTAACTTCCTTTTTGGATTATAGTTTGGATTATAGATGAGAGTTCAAATCTCATCTATAATAAAAAAAAATTTAAAAATTATGCTATAGTACTCTTTTGATCTATTTTGTACACTCACTAGTCTCCTACACAGGAGGCTGTGTTCTTCTTTGCTTCCCAGTAATACTATTGCTTTTCCTCTAGCATTAAATGCTAATTGTCCTTTCAAACAATACGTCTACAGAGATCAGAATTCCCACATTTCCCTTCCTCTTAATCATGATGCTTGTTAAGTTATTCCCATTTTTACTTTTATTCATGCTTATTTATATTCTTTTATTTTACTAAATATCGGACGCCTTTATATTCTTTGCTGCCTTCATTCTTTACATTTATATAGATATATTGGTCTACATACTTTGCTTTTTTTTCAATCTTTTTAGTGATCATGGATCAGAAAAAAAAAATTATTCTCTGATGAGGATAGCCAATTAGAGAAAAATTGTCATGCTAGAGAAGTATTTGCAGCCTTGCCTAACACAAAAAAGGCTGAATTTGTGGCTAAAAAACAGCAATCGAATTGCATTGAGGACATCCTCAATCAAATTGCATTAAATCTAAATTAAGTATTTTATCGTCATCCTCGAATTGCATTGAGCACATGGAATTGAATAAGATTATTACTCAATCCATAGTGCAATTGAACGCATTTATTTTGGATGCCACTGCTTCTGTTTTAGAAGCTCATCAAAATCTTCAAGAAGGTGCTACTTTGCATGCTATTTGTGCATTTTGCTAATGTTATACATATATATAATATTAATCATTAACACAAATTTATATCATATTAATCATTAACCTTCAAGAAGTCCAACATTGTTATTACAATTAACCAAAATCGGTTAAGGCGTCATGGACTACAAATGGTTTCTAATCCTACTACTTTTTAGAACATACAATTATAAAGATATATAAGTCTATATATCCATATTACTCTATATAATTATTATAAATTTTTAATGTCCTTGTTTTTATTCTTATTTTTCGTTCTATAAAAAAGAATAATTGGTATGTTATTTACTAATAGTCCGAGTATCCAATAACAATTGCAGGATAACCGCTTGACAAAATAACACTGTTCATGGGGCAACTCTCATTTTTATATTGTTAGATAGATATCCATATTTAATGTATATATATAATTATTATAAAATTTTTCCTAATGGCTCTAAATTACTTTAAATTGAAAAGCAATGTTGTACGCTGTTTTTTTATTATTCTTTTAGTCAATCGTGCAACATTAATTAGATTGTTTCTTACATTAAAAAAATTAAAGTACTGTAAATTTCAAAAACAATGTAATAATACATGGCTCTTAATGTGGATTAATGATCTAATATTAGTGAACGGCATTTTACAAAAATATGAAAGAAAAATAATTGTTGTGATTATATTGATTAAATGTTTTAATTCGTGCAAAAAAAAAGGAAATAGGCCCTTATTTATGGAACTTAGTGAGTAATATAGGTATACATAAATATAGACGGGTATCTTTATAATTATCTCACTCAGACCACATAATTTATACAAATCATACGACAGAAAATGTCGACACTGCATTGTCTCAATTATAGTACTTTATTAACCATTATATTACAAAATATCCTCCATACTTCACAAACTATTAACAGTATATTCACCCAACAAATTTATCACACTATTATTTTATAATTCAAGCCAGACTTATAACAATTATATAACTCTCTACATTATAAGAAATATATAATGGCTAAAAATTAAGCAACTTAACACGGGAAATATTAGTACTCAGGGTGTCTCACTAGTTGACTATAAAAGACACAATTTGCAGAACTCGAGCCAAATAACACGCAGGTTTAATTTCAAATGCTCACTCAATTATGATACTTACCAACCCCACTCGAATAGGGTACCAAATACAGTTCTAGACACAATTTTCAAAGCTTACTTTAATCCGGCAAGTACCTATGATCACTCAATAGAAACTTGGATGGCAGATTTTGAAAATAATAATTAGCATGACATCATAAACATTTCAGCTATAGCATCACACAAAAATCTTAATCCTGTTTTGCATGATCTAATAAAAAATTTATCTGAACAATTCTTACTAAGAAGCAGCCATAGAAAATTAGAGTTCAATCTAATTGAGCTGATTCACTGCATGATCTTTAGTAATCAACAGTTTGACTTGGTCTTTAAGTGTTCATGAATGTTCAATTAGTCAAATAGCTAACTAAAATCAGGGTAAATTCTGCAGTGTATTCAGTGAATCCAAGACAGGTGTGGAAAGCTAAAGAACATGGCAAAGAAGCTGGCACG